CTAACCAAAACTGGTCAACACTCCGGCGCTGAAGAGAAGTCAAGCCGCTGCTTAAGTAGCTGGTCTCCTGATGAGATGAATCAGCCTCAGGTGTGCAGGTGGCTTCAGCTCAGGAGACCCAGGGCGCTCTCTGCTGGAGAAAGGTGGCAGATCTCCAGATCCCAACACAAATGTCATGCTGAAATATAATTAAAAAATAAATCTAAACATTAGAGACTGTATTACTAAAGATACTTTCAAACATAAGAATAATTCAATTCGGGAATTTATGGGCATAAGTAAAGTTAAGTATAAGACATCTATATTTTATACATTTTTTTAATAGCATGCAAAAAGATATATTTAAAGGTCTGGGGATTGTCTGGCAGAGGGGCCTTGGCTGCACTTTTAGTGATGAATGGTTGAAAATACCTTAGAAATACATTAAAGAATCAAGAGGGAAATTTACGCATTATAAGATAGTACATAGGTTTTATTTCACAGCATCTAGGCTACATAGAATTACTTAGCTTACTTACAGATAACTTGTATTGGAAATGTAAAATGGAATTGGAAACTTTTAGACATGGGATACTGGAATGTACATGCATTTCCCTGTTCTGGAAAGCAGTATTACAACACACTGGAAACTGGATAGGTTTGGGGATACCTATGTCACCAAGACTTTGCTTGTTAGAGGATCAAACAGTGATGCCAAAGATGTCAAAGCATCAAAAAAACTGTTGTGCAGGTGGAATGTAAAGTGTCCAATTTGGTAAATTCAGATGTTAACTAAGAACTGTGACACCTAAAGGGAGATCAACTGTTTGCTGTAAAAATATTAAGGGTTCCTTCACGTTTATACATTAAAAAAGAAGACCCCAGCCTTAATATGGTTTCATTAAATGAGTCATCACAAAGAAAATTTAGCAGATGAGATACTAAAAGTTTTCAGTATCTGATCACATCACTGGTTAGATTTGCCAGCTTGAACCGTCTTTTTACACAATTCTCAGATTTCAGGTAAAACTCTTTTAGTTACAAAACATATTTTTATAACTTGTTAGATTCTTTTTAGGGCATTGCTTTTAATTAAAGACATTTTGTAGCCTTAGAACAGGTAATTCTCACATTTTTGAAGGTATTTCGTCATTTTATAAGTATTTATTAATTTTCTAATACTCTGCGGACTTCTCCAGTTTGATTCTGTTAAAACAGGCGTCAGTTCATCTAGTTTTCGATTCTGAAAAGCATTTTGAAGGCTTTGAATAAGTAATTCTTTGACGAAAAAACAAAACTTGTATTTTTTTAAATCTTCAAGTTAATTTTTTTAATATCTGACAAAGGGCAGATAACAGATTGTCAAAGTTTTAGGTCGGTGCTCTGAACATTTTTTAATCACACAACACTGAAGTTGAAAATTAAAAAAAGAAGCAGCATTTAGATTTCCTTAATGCAGAAGTGTTTTTTTGTTTCCTCGCCAGGCTTTAAATTTCCAAAGAAAGGAAGCTGCAGTTATATTTTCAGACTCATTCTGAATAAATGAGTAAATAGGCAGGTTCTTTGGTTAAAAGAACCTGTTGATGATGTTTAGTGCGGCCTCGGAGAGGTTTTAGGTGGCATTAGTCTGAAGAGCCTCCAGCTTATCCACACCGCCCAACTCTTCGATCATGCAGACTCTCTCCAACTCACCTGTGAGCAGTTGGGGTTAAGGGTCTTGCTCAGGGACCCAGAGTGGCAGTCTGTAGGAAACTAACCAGGTACTTGCAACCTTCTCGGAGCACAAGGGCACTGCTCTAACCATTAGGCCAACATTCCCTTGGATGAATTGTGATTAATCAATCATTCAAATAACCATCAAATAATTTAGTAATCGATAAATCCTTAACTGGAGTATAGAGATTAAAACATGCCTCTAGCAGACAGTGACCCACTTACAGCAGTAATTATATAAAAATTGTGGGGAAAAAAATTTATATATATAAATATTTTGCATTTGTGATAAAAAAAAAAAAGACTCTCAATTTTCTCTATCCAGAACTTCTCGAGTGGAAAAGTTTTAGTTTCACTTGGTTTATTTTATAAAAAATATTTAAGGAAAAAAAATGTATTGATAGATTAGCAAAATAAGCATTCTTTGCAGCTGTAATTGTGCAGTTATTGTTTTCACACCTCTAAAATATTGAAGAGAGTCTCCAGGATCACCAGGACCATGCTGGGGTCTCTAACAGTCAACAGGTTGAGCAAAGGCTCCAACACATTGCAGTGAATGAGGTAGGCCACTTGGGTACTGTTCCCCCACTGGTGTAATTTTGGAGAGCCCACACAGCCTCATTCCGGGTTGCATGATCTCCCTGAAAATTGAGAATTAAAAACAAAATCTAAGATATACTTTATACAAATACATATATTTCATTTAAAAAAAAAAAAACGAGTCTTTCTTGATCCACTTCTCTTGTTTATTTAATTTCAGTGTATAGTTTCCCTAGTTCTTTCAGTGCAGGCAGGTTATGTCAGTGTGTGGTCAGGAGACCGTGAGACATCCAATGATGTACGATCTGGTGTATCTTACTTATGAAGAGCCTCAAGGTTTGACTGGAGCCAGTATTTGGTGATTGCCTTCTTGCTTGCAATTAAGAAAGTCTTTTGTAAATATGTGTCATTTTAACTGAGCCCTTCAGGGAGTTTAGCAAGGTACAAAGAGGTGAAAGAAGAATCCAACACTGTGCCCAGGGTTTCAGAGATTATCTGCTTAACATTGTGCCAGAAGACCTTCAATTTAGGACAGGACCAGTAAATATGAACATAATCTTCAGAAACCACCCCACATCATCTAGAGCAGGGCACCCCTGCACCACTTAACCTGGATTTCTGCTGTGGTGTAATAGAAAACCTGATAAGGTTCTTCCAGCCAAGATCCCGCCATTCTGTAGAGTTCGTAGTTCAAAAGGTGTTTTTCCACAGTTGAGACCAAAGTTCCTCTGAGATTGTAATGTTGGCTTCCCTTTCCCACCGCTATCTGATATAATCTGTTGACGTCTTATTCACAGTTGCAAAATATGGATAAAGCTTGCCAATGATGCCCCTTGCATTGGTACCAGAGTATACATCCTTAAAGACCTGCATTATCCCTGTATTTAAGGCTAAGTCAGGGGTCATAATTTCTCTCCTAAAAAAACTCTGCACCTGCAGATAACGAAAAAAAATTCCTCTTCCAATCTCATAAATCTAGCATAAATCCCTGAAATTTATTAAATGCCCCTTTTTTTATTTTACAGAGGGAAGTGATTCCCTGTTTGGCCCACAGCCTGAATTTATGGTCTAGACATTCTGGAAAAAAGCATGGATGGTACGCAGGCCAACTCAACACTCCTATCTGTTTATGAAGTATTTTTTTACCACGTCAGACCACTTTTTGAAGGAAAAATGTACACACTGGTTTTGGAATTGGTATACTTGCGGAAGCCTGCCTAAGCAACCAAGCAGAGACTGTATAGGGAAGTCCGATATAGAAAGCTCAATGTTCTTCCATTTAGACTTGTAGTTCGGATTACGCCAGAACACTAAGGATCTAATCTGGGCTGACATGTAATAAGCAAGGCAGATGCAATCGAGATTTAAGTTTCAGTACAAACCGTTCATCACAATACATTGCATACATTGGGGTGGGGGGCTGAGAGGGGGAATGGATTTACTGAGGCCATGTGTGCCGCAGAACACTGCCTTTGGCGCATTCTTATGGCTTTTCAGGTTTCCACCGGTTACCTGGTTTCCCAGGTCCCAGGCGGTTACTTATAGAGCTGCCTTTATCTCTGTGGAAAGATAGGAGCCACATTGGGGGAGAGAGAGAATAAAAGCATATTTCACACTTTATCCTTGACAGGATACAGTTTGAGATAAAGTCGTGCACCACTTGGGAGTATTTGGAAATGCAACTGTTGGAACAGTCGTTTCCCTACAGCCGCTGCAGACACCCTCTTTGCAGTGTTATTTGGTTTGAGAGGTTCCCATTAATTTTTATTCTTGCTGTTGGGGAGGAGTAGATTGATCTTATAAACTGAATAAATATATCACAGAACCCAAATTTCTTCATTACCTGAAAAAGAAACTCCAACCCTACCATATCATATGCCTGCTTGGCAGCAAGGCTGAGTAGGTCTGTGCTTCTATTTTCTTTACTTATATAATCAATAATATGTATGGCCCTTCTTATATTATCGTGTGTTTGTCTATTACAAATGACACCTGTCTGGTCCTCATCTATCAAAGAAGGCAAAATGCTTAATCTTTTTGCTAATATTGCTGCATATAGTTTGTAATCTGTATTTAAGGCACTAATTGGCCTTTACCCTTTAGGGTTGGTTCTGTCTTTCCTCATTTTTGGTATGACTGAGATAAATGCCTCTCGCCATGATGGTGGAAGATCTCCGCCTTTCAGGGAGTAGTTAAATGAGGTCTTTAATAACAGGAGTAGCAATTCCCTTATATTCCTAATAACTAGCTATTTAATCATAGTTCCACTAAATTAAAGTTCTAATCGCCTGAATGTTAAAGGTTAATCTGACCTGCTGAAGTATCTCCACCAGGAAGGGTATCAGGCCGGCATTAATAACTTCCTGAATCCAGCTGCTCTTGCCGGCAGTGATGATGGACACGGTCCAGGCCACCTCTTTATGGATGCAATGTTTGGGGTGTCTCAGTAGGCGCGGGAGCATTGCCAGGGCACCTGCGTTCAGCACACACTGGGTCTGCTCATCGGTTCCAGTCACAATGTTGCAAACCGAACTCAGAGCTGGAGTCTAAGCAGGGATGAAGAATGAGCCGATTATTTGCAGAACAGAAGCTCAGCCAACGAGGATGAGTGAAAGACTGTGTGAGCAATCCTTTATTTTAAGGATTTAATAAAAAGAAATAGGTAATGAGTAAAGTGCAAAAAATCACTACTGCATAGTCAGTGTTTAGTTTGGATTAAAGTGAATAAAACTTCAGTGAGAGAAATCCATAATTTGGAAACAAATGTGCCTTGTCAGGGTTAGTACATTTTTAGGACAGTAACATTAGATCATCTTCAACTGATTTAGAAGTTGAATAATGGTTAACTGGAGTATACAGTAACTAAAACACTAAAACACACAAGAACAACTAGTTAGAAACAGCACTTAGTTAAAACAAAAAATGTTAAATCATATGCTCTAGGGGTGGAACGGTTCACAAAATCCACGGTTTGGTTCGGTTCACGGTTTCTTGGTCACGGTTTGCGGTTTGGTTCGTTGCGCGGTTGCGTTGTCATGGTTTTCGGTTC